TGTTCGTTACATTTACTTACGCGCAAATACCCTTGGGGAATGTATGCATCCATCTCTTCTCCTTCTAGCTATGGGTTAAATAGTAAGACTTATATCCCGAAAAATCATTGTTATTCTCAAAGAATTGTTAATGTAATATTCACTCTCAAAAAAAGAATTATTCTTACAATCCAAAATATGTTTTGGCTTTAAATATCCTACAAAGGGTTGATAAACCATAAAAGCAAATCTCTCTCTCTCTCTCTCTCTCTCTCTCTCTCTCTCTCTCTCTCTCTCTTTCTCAATTTGCTTTCGGATTTCGGTGTCGAATTTTCCATTTTCTGTTCTCAGATATTTAAACTTCAGCACCTGTTTATTTTTTGACATCTCCAATTCATAGTTCACATCATTTTTGCTAACAACTATATACAAAGGTATATATATATATATATATATATATATATATATATATATATATATATATATACAAATTAATTGAATCAACCGCTTTAGTTTCCTTTCACCATACGGTCAGTTTCAGACGCACTGGAGTGACAGGGTGTAATCGATTTCTATTTTTTCTCAGATTAGGTCATTTGCAGTGGTGTGCAGTAATATGAATCGATTTTCGGGGTGTCTGATGAATGATTTGTTTGGCTTTGAAAAATATTGCATCATCCGTGATTGCATCAGATTTTCATCACGCCAAGACACTAATGTCTCGACTGTCAATTAGTTGTCCTACGGCCATTGTCTGCAATTGACGTTACTCCAAGGAATCGCAAAAAAATTGTAACGCAGCAATAACAAAATGGCAAACTTTACCAGTGAGCAAATCAAAATAGTAGAGACTGGCCTGGAAACTCTCCTGATTTAAATCCATTCAAGAATCTGTGGCCAATCTGCAAGGAACGACTTCGTGGAATGAACATAGGAAGTACTAACATGTGCATTGGGTCAAGTTTCATTGGAAAAATACGAAGAAAAAGAACATAACGGAATTATTCGTTTTGTTTCAATCAATTTGCACATGGCGGACATTGTCTTCTTACAATTGATGGTTAGTCCTTTCTTCTCATTTTCTTCTTTTACTACCTTTTCAAGAAGGTTCAGTCGTTTTTGTTTTTTTACTTCTGTCTCTGCTAACATCAAAGTGCCATCTGCGTATCTTATATTGTTAAAATTTCCTGCTCTCTGGTAATCTCCTGCTCCTTGAACATATCCTTGCTCTATACGAGGTTAGATTAATGATAAATGAGAAAACACATCCTTGTCTTACTCCCCTTTCAATTTTTGTGTAGTTAATTTCTTTTTATCCGCATGTAGGCGCATAAAAAAGGATCCATCAGTGAGAAGTAATTTCCATTCGAGCAGCTTCTTCCCGCGAACCACTTCAATGTGGAATCGACTTCCAACAGGATGTTTCCCCCGATCTTTACAATCTTAACCTGATCAAGCTAGGGTCAATTATTATCTTCCTCACCTTATACACACAAATGGCCTCCGAACGTAACTCTCTACCTCGAGTGGCCTCCGGGCCCTGCAAAGGGTGACTCCCACTGTAAAATATAAATAAATATACCCTGTTGAAATGCATGTAACTGTGCGTTTTTTATGCCGTAAAATACGACATTTACAGACCATTGCTACTGTAAGTTGTTTGATCTTAACAGCGTTTCCATACTATTAGCCTTGTGCCACACTAAGCTAGAGTAAATACGAATCGAGCACCTCGCTTAAGAGTAGTTGTTGGCAAGCTGATATTGTCGACCATTTTTTAAATGCCATTTCCCTTCATGACGAGAGAGAGCGATCATGGCTCTCCACAGATTCCTTTTCCTTTATTATCTGCGAATTGCAATGCATTCTTGGGAAAGATAGTGGAGTGGTTTCCCGTTACCTTCTCTACGTCTCGTGATTCAGACATGTCCTACTCTTAGACTAGTTGACATCTAAAGCAAGAAAGTCCCATCTACTCTTCGAGAGTGAGAAGAAAAGAGACGAATGCATGTCTTTCAATTGGGCATTTGTGCAAAACTGAACACAGGAGGCTAGGCCGGAAGTTGACCTGTACTCGCCGATTTCAAATTCAGCGCCGTTGTTTGTTAAATTACCCGCACAACACGTCAACTTTAATGAGATAGAACTTCGCCGTGCGCCCTTAATTCTTTGACCTTATGCCAGATATGTGCTAAGCTTAGTAGTTATGTCTTAAGCAAACGACTCAAAATTATGATTTTATACTTAATACCAAGTTAATAGCGCTCGTATTGACACGATTTCCAAATGGAGAGAAATATTCAGACTTGCAAGCAATCCGAAAATATCCTTCATCCCCTGTGATTAACTATGCTTTTCAGCCTCCTCCAGAGACTTCCCTACGCAGCGAATGGATAACCTCGAAAGGGAGATAACCATGTCGGCTTGAATCAGGAGGAAACAGATCGAATTTTAAAGAGAAATCACTTTTAAAACGATTATGATTATCGATGATTGAATAAGTTACTTCGTCTAAAAATGGCGGCGCTCAATCGGCCATTGGCCGAATCCGGGAAGTATATGCGGGGGCGGTGAAGTGAAATGGCTGGCGGGAAAAACGTGATTCAATTTTCAGTTATTTGAAGGAGGGACGGTGTTCGGAGGACACCTTTGGGAGCAGAGAATCCACTTAGGTCATTTTTCATCAGTTTCGGGCGTTTTGTCAAATTCACTTTACAGCCAAGACCTAGTTTCGTTCGACGTCCAATCCAATGTACGACTTATAAATAATATTTCCAATAATATACAGAGTAAAATGAATCCGATTGAACATATCGCGTCCGAGGAAAACCTGCAGGGTCTACGGTTCTATTTTCAAGCTCTCTGTTCCTAAATCGGTCATTATGGAGCACATTGCTTACGGATATTTCTTATAGTCGGTCTGGGGAATAGATTTTTTTTTATCTATTGATGGAATCAGAAGAAAATGCTCAGAATAGTGTTGTAAAGTAAGACTCTAAAATTTTAAAATAAATGAAATTTTGAATACTATACTAGTTCCATGTATAAATTGGTAATAGAATATCATATATATATATATATATATATATATATATATATATATATATATATATATATATATATATATATAGGTATTTTTTATATACAAGCTGGTAATTGAATGACACAAGGGAAGAAAAAATTCTGTTACACGTTTCATCGAAAGACTTCTTCAGGCTAAATAACGACTTTTATCAGCGGAATCATATATACGATCTGATCAAAAAAGTATCAGAACTGTTGCTATAGTAACGGAGCTAAAGTACGTAGAGTGAAGCAACTTGGCACAGATTGACCATGAACTCTGTCGGGCATGCACATCAATTTATAACGTTCTCGATCACATCTATTGTTCACTGACCATGGATTGTGCTGCAGTTTTTGGACAAGCAGCAGGTACAACAAACACCATATTTCCCAGATCGCTCTCCTCGCGACTTTTTACATTTCAAAAATCAAATCCCACTTAAAAGGAACAAGGTTTCAAGACGTCGAGGAAATCTAAAAGAATGCGACGAGGCAGCTGTCCGCTATCCCAAAAATGGAATTTCAGGAATGCTTCCATCGATGGAAACGAAGCTGGATAAAGTGTGTGACTTCTGAAGGGGACTACTTCGAAGGAGATTACATTCTGAATTGATGTGTTCCATTACTTTTTTATAACACCTGTACCGATATTTTTATCATACCGCGTATGTCGGATGGGAGGGGGAATACAAAAAATATCGGTTATAATTCTATCCTCTATTAGCCTGATATATAAACTTTATATATCATATTCTTCTATACAAAACATGAATATAAAAGTAATGTTATGCCTTAATCATAAAAATTTAAAAAGTAACATAAAAAAAAGTAAGACAAACGGTTCAATTCTTTAAAAATAATAGTGCAACATAAAATCGGCGTCTAATTCAGATTCGGCCCGCCAGGCGGCGAGTGTCCTGATTGTTATAATCGCATACAGAGCAGTTACAATAAAATAATCAAACTTGCATTGCATCTATCGCAATTACATAAGGAGGGTACAAAAATTGGCGATGCACAATCCGAAACAAGGCGTTTTCATAGTCCATGTTGATTTATATTTATTGTTAACCCGAAGAAAAGTGCGCCAGTGACGACACTTAAATAACACCTCAGATTTATAGACTACGCAAAAACGTTCGACATATTATGCCACAAAGATCTGTTAGAGTTGCTGAGAAACCTTGAAATATTCGGGAATGACATTTGAACAATCAAAAATCTCTACTGGCAACAAACCGCCTGCATACGGATAAAAATGAGTTCAGCAAATATGCAAAAACTAGAAAAAGATATTAGTCAAGGATGTGTCGTCTCACCGGACTTTTTCAACCTATACAGCGAGGCAATTCTGAGAGAACTGGAAATCCTATCAGGCTTCATAATTGGCGGCCACAATCTTAACAACGTATGATATGCCGATGACACAGAAAAGAAACTACAAAACCTCCTTCAGAAGGTAGTGAAGGAGAGCAAGAAGAAGGGACTAAGCATAAACTGCAAGAAGACAGGATGCATGCTCATCTACAAAAAGATGAGCCCAAAATGCAATTTACAGGTCAGTTAATCAGCGTAAGGAATTTACTATAAATGTTATGGAAATGTTATGGAAATCTCCTGTCATTATGGAAATGTTATGGAAATCTCCTGTCATTTTGTTCGTCCCCCTCCCCCGAGGTGGGTGCGTTAGTAATTTGTATCTTTAATTATCTTCATGCGTTTTAAGGTTTGAAAGGTCGGCGAATTCTGGATATTCTTTCAGAATGGGCACCTTAAAATATTCGTTGAGATTACAGTCGGTTGTGATAAAATGTTACCATTACACCACCTGGTATTCCCAAACGGTCACTCATCTAGGTACTGATCAGGCTCGACGTTGCTTAACTTCGATGATCGTACGGGAACTGGAGTTTCAACGAGATGTAGCCGTAAGCGATATTGTTCGTATATAAAAGCTTACAGCACCTGGTATTCCCAAACGGTCACTCATCTAGGTACTGATCAGTCTCGACGTTGCTTAACTTCGATGATCGTACGGGAACTGGAGTTTCAACGAGATGTAGCCGTAAGCGATATTGTTCGTATATAAAGCTTACAGCACCTGGTATTCCCAAACGGTCACTCATCTAGGTACTGATCAGTCTCGACGTTGCTTAACTTCGATGATCGTACGGGAACTGGAGTTTCAACGAGATGTAGCCGTAAGCGATATTGTTCGTATATAAAAGCTTACAGCACCTGGTATTCCCAAACGGTCACTCATCTAGGTACTGATCAGGCTCGACGTTGCTTAACTTCGATGATCGTACGGGAACTGGAGTTTCAACGAGATGTAGCCGTAAGCGATATTGTTCGTATATAAAAGCTTACAGCACCTGGTATTCCCAAACGGTCACTCATCTAGGTACTGATCAGGCTCGACGTTGCTTAACTTCGATGATCGTACGGGAACTGGAGTTTCAACGAGATGTAGCCGTAAGCGATATTGTTCGTATATAAAAAGCTTACAGCACCTGGTATTCTCAAACGGTCACTCATCTAGGTACTGATCAGGCTCGACGTTGCTTAACTTCGATGATCGTACGGGAACTGGAGTTTCAACGAGATGTAGCCGTAAGCGATATTGTTCGTATATAAAAGCTTACAGCACCTGGTATTCCCAAACGGTCACTCATCCAGGTTCCGATCAGGCTCGACGTTGCTTAACTTCGGTGATCGTACGAAAATCGGTGTTTCAACGTGAATGTGGCCGAAAACCCGAAGTTTTAAATTAAAGTGGTAGCAATATTCGTCAGAATGGATGCAGTATCTTTGAGATTTTCGAGTTTTCCTTTGAAACTCATCCCAAACAGATCAATATGACCCTTTTCTCGTTCTCACTTCTCTACCAAGCGTTCCAAGAATTGGGGCTCAAGATGAATATTTCCAAAACAGAAACTATGATCTGGAATTGGAAAGAAACCAGTGATGGCAGCTACCCTGAATACATCATAAAAATGAATGAACCCTGTAGGTCTTGGAGAGGATCATCCTTTTTAAAACTCGTGGACTGTCGCTACAGAATAAATATATTGACATTCCACACTACTTGAAAAAAAAAAGTATTAGGAACAAAGTCACCGATCATTACTGGAAAGAGCGATAACAGTTACTGGACGTAAGCAACGTATTTTCCTGAAATTTTCTTTTAAGAAAAAGTGTTATAAATTTCAACCGACAGTAGCACTGGCTGTTCGGCTAATGAATGTTGAATGTTTCCTTATAAGGAAACTCCAGATATTAACATTACTATTGCCATATACATTTGCTATAATTGACTTAAAGGCTTTCGCGTGTTTTCTGATTGTAACTTTTATAGCGGAGGTTCGCCTGGTTTCTCTCTAATGTGTCCAAATACGTTTTCAAGGGATGTTGTATATGAAATTTTTACTTATAATTATTTTACACGGGAATCCAATTTTTATAAGAGAATTGTGTAGTTGTGGGAAAATAGCCTGGTCTAAAGAACACTAGTCATAGTAATCAAGTCATATTTATCAAGGATTTTGAATGATGTTAAATCTACTGGATTAAGAGAAATCTATACTTCATTAGAAATCTTTAATAGTTGAAGACGGCGTCAATTTTCAACTGTAATTCGATCTACACTCGTCGACTTACTAAACAGCTCCAAGCTTCCGGGAAACCCGGCAAATGTTTCACGCAATCGTCTACGAGTGTAATTAAACGAAAATGAACGCCTTCTGCTACAATTGACAAGTTAAAGAGTTTGCTTATTCAGTCTGTTGTTGGGCTTCTTTGTTTTGTTTCCAACTGTCTTAAATCGTTCTGTCGTAAAGTATTAATCAGCAAAGTCAGACAGAAAACATTTGCTCGAGTCTAAAATTGGTCGAGATGGTCGGTAATATGGGCAGAATAAATTTCCTTTTTTTAAGAATCAAATATTTATTGAATAAAAATTAAGAAATGCTTCTTTCTACAGTGCAATCGTACAAAAGAGACAAGTATTTTGTACGTGTGCGCATGCGCGTGTGAGTGTGCGTGTCAAGATTTTGTGTGTGCGCGTGCGGGTGTATAGACTTGTGCATATTTATCCGTGTATTTCTGGTTATGATTTTAAAATACGCATAAGTGTGTGTGCATGGGTATGTAGATGTATATGTGTGAATTAGCGTATAGTACTGAACTTACATCTTTGTAACTGTGGGTATATATATATATATATATATATATATATATATATATATATATATATATATATATAAAGCGTGCTGGCTTTGTTCAAATTGTTGATAAACGCCAGATAACACTCTTTTCTCAAAAACTGTAACTGAGGTCTGCTCAGCATAGTCGCAGTACAAACCACAGGTGGGCTCTGTGGGTGTCAAATAAACACAAATGTGCCTGAGCAAGTGTCTGCAATAGGGATTGGCTAGCAGCTCTATTAGACGGGTATCCTCGAATACGATATATATATATATATATATATATATATATATATATGCGTGAATAGGCATGTACGATGATGGGCTGAAAAAATGATAGGCTGACTATGCGTGATGCTTGAGTTGCATTATTTTTATTAATAACTGCATTTTTTCTTCTCAGTTAAACTGCTCAAAGAAGATTTCAAAAGTAACTAGTAACAACAGTTCAAAAGTAGGTAACTGAGTTTAGTGGGGGGGCTGGGTAATATGCAGTTATAAAGGCTATCAAGATCAGACGTCCAGAGAAACTGACGAAAGCGGTCCTGTTTTATCAGGACAATGATCCATAACATGGCCTTGGTTTCAATGGCTGTCGTGTGCAAACTGATTGATCACTCTCCCTATTCTCCTGATTTGAGTATCATCTGTTCCCCATCATGAAAAAACACTTGTCTGGGAACCAATATCACAGTGGAAATGACGTCATATCTGATGATGATGACTATTTTGACAAACCGGGTGAATAGCCTTCTTTGAACACTCAGATGTTAATTTACCTGTAAAGAAACAATGCATTTATTAATAAGAACAGCTGAAATTAAGACATGCAAAATTCCATATATCTACCATAATTCTTTTCAACCCACCCTCGTAAATTTTAGTGAGAATATTCATGTGCCTGTATGCGTGTAATTTATACATTTATATAAATATATACACATTCGTACATATAAGTATCATATAGATTATATTTAGCATTTTTAAATCTTCATTTCTGAATGGGTGTGCGGGTGGTATTATGGATAGCAACTCCGAATGAAAAGCCTGAGAGTTGAGTTCGAATTCTAGTCTGGTTCGTTATATTCATTTCTGCGCTAATAACTTTGAAAGGTGTATGAATCCACCTCCCCCCTTCCAAGTATGGGTTAAATAATAGGGCTTTTGTCTGGAAAAATCATTGTCATACTCAAAATATTGTTAATGCAATATTAACTCCCGAAAATAATAATGAATTATTCTTACAATCCCAAAATATGTTTCGGCTTTAAATAACCCACAATTAGATCTGATTGTTTTGTCTCTATGTATTATAAAGTCCCATAAAAATGTTACAGGTCCTATCTCTGTAACCGGGTCTGAGTGATGTTTCTTGCAGTTTCCTTCCCGTCAAAGTTGCATATTTTCCTGTGCAGCTATTGGCCCACTCTATCATTCCGAGTTTTATATTTCGTTGGTGCTGACACTATGCAACCTCATACAAGATTTTCAATTGTTTCTGAATTACAGAATCTGCATTTGGGTTCAACATAATCTTTCAATATGGGTGCTTGGTAATTTCTAGTTAGCAAACATTGCTCTTGTGCTGCAAGAATGAAACCTTCGATTTCAGCTTTTAATCCTGCACTACGTAACCACTGATGGGTACGGGGTTTGTCTATATCAGCTTGTTTAGCACGGGCATAATATTGACTATGAAAAGGCTTATTTTTCCATCATTTCTGCATTTGGTACATTGCATTTGCATTTGCTTTCTTTATTAGGTTCTTTTCCACTGCAGTAATTGTATTATGGCTTATTTGTACTTCTTCATCTCCTTGGAATTCCCTTTTGAATTTGTTGGCTTCCTTTATTACTGAATAAAGATTCTTATCTATTTCATGTATTTTAAGACAGATCATCATCCAGTCTTCTGTAGTTCCCTGGTACCTTTAAAGACAGGTTGCTGTGTTTTTGTAAAATAATTCTAGTTGAACTAATCCTCTGCCTCTTTCGGATCTAATATTTATGACAAAATCTAGATCTATTGAGTGTGTTTCTGGAATTCTCCTTTTCTTGATGTGACTTTTTCACATTTATGTAACCCGGAATCCATACCGATTTTATCACTGAAGCATTTTACAGTCTTGAGAATACTCTTTAACTCATTGCCGTCTATGGCAAAGAGTTTGATATCACAATGTAGATTAGGCGATTAAACACTTTCTTTTTTATTTTTTATCCATAGTTATTACTGCTTAGTTCATGCGAAAAGGAGATTAAGGACAGACAAAATAGGCAACATGGAGTCAAACAACTTGAAGTTGCAGTACCTTTGGTGTGATTTAGGCATAATGTTGCTTTCCACATTTTCTTGCTGTGTTTAAGGAAATTTATTATCATCGAGGAGACTTTGTACATTTCCAAAGTCTTAAGGATCCAAAAGAGTGGCACACTATCAAAGACTTTACGGTATTCTAACCAAGCTGTGCTGAGATATCTACATTTTTTCCTAAAATTTCCCGGAAGCATTTTATTTATTGATAGTTGATCTTTGCAACAATATGAACCGCTTTGACACCCGTTCTGTTCGAATGGAAGATTGTTTTTTTCATTAAGGAAAGAGTAAGTACAGTCCGTCAGGACAGACCTGATCAGTTTATGGACAAACATGCTATTGGTCTATAATTATGAGGTTCATCTCTTTCATCTGTTTTTGTTAGGAGTAATACCTTCAGAGATCCATTCTGGAATTTCATTGGGGTTATTGATTAGCATTGATGAAGTTTGTACATGAGTTTTATGGATTGTTGACAGATGATAGAACCAAAAGTTAGGTACTTTGTCATTTCCTGGGGATTTGCTTTTTGGCGATTTTGTTGGAGCTTACCTAACATGATTCATGATTATATTTTTCCATTCTTTTGCAAGTTTATTCTTCATTCTTTATTGTTCTCGTTCGGTCTATTTTGCATTGGTTTGCTTCAAATATTCTCCCAAACTTTTGCACTTCTTCAGCAGATTGTGGCTTTTTGACTACTATGAGTTTCCTTGTAAAACTTATTATTTTGTCGATAGAAGCTACAACGCTTTTCACATCGTCTTGTTCTCTGTGCTTTTAATTACAGTTTATGTTTAATTATTTCCTTGATTGGTGGAATTTAATTTACCTCTTCCATTTTATATTTCCATGTTGAAACATTTGAAATTCTTCAAATGTCATCAAATATTGATAACTCACATCTGATTTCCTCAATTTCTTGATTTAATTTTGCCTTCCAAGTGGGTTCTTTTTGTCTGTTGTTTAATTTTGATATTTGTCTTGATTATTATTATTATTATTTAAAATTTGGCAATAACTAGTTATTATTTGACTAGGATTTCTTTTCGTCTTAACTTCAGTTGACTTTTTATGGAAACTATCCAGACATTTATTCTACGACCGTTACTACAGTGCGGAGGAGTATAAAGTAATCAGCTCACATTGTCGGAGTTAGCTCCCCCTTAATTCCCAAATTGTCACTAGGGGTCATTCTCCCTATACTATAAATACTGGGCCACTTATTGCCT